CGCCGGCACTTCCTTAAGTAGTATCGGCGTGATGACGTCAGCCGCCACGTTGGTGGCAGGAATGATTGGAATGCAATCAGCGGGAGGAGTTCGTGACACTAACAGATGTTAAAATTCCAACAGTGATTATTAAGCAATGTAACCACTAAAGCAATATATCTGTGTAATCCCCCTTTTTTAGCCATTTCATCTGGAAAGTCCAAGTATACCTGAAAAACAGAAAAATTTTGTTTTCCCCATCCAATTTAAACTCCTCGTGATTTTTATCTTCAGAGGTACTCTTATTTTTACTTTTATTTTTTCCAAATTTGGGTACTGCTGCCCATTTTTCTAGCAAAAAGTGACTCTCGCTGAGTGTTGCCTGTTGTCTGGTTGCTGTCAGGTATCAGTGCCAGAAGACTCTGGATGACGAGCAAAGACAAGTCACACACAGTAGGTTAAATAAATAAATACATTGTCATATCTGGTGTTAGCACTCTTGGGTGTTTTACTGTAGGGAGCAATTACTACACTTAATACGTTAAAATTTCTCCAGCATTCGAGGAAGTGTGGTTGTTTGCCATCTTGCGGTTCTAGTTCTGAACGACTCCTTAAAGAGCAAGTCACCTCCAAATCAATTCTTTGTTGCTGATAAATTATATAAATGAGTGTCCAATCATGCTATAGACATGTGTAGCTAATAATTTAGCACTTTAGTGCATCTTAGTTAAAATTTTAATATTCTGCCTAAAACTGTCAGTGTTGCACAGTCATCAGATAAAACTCTGCATTACATTTCAATTTAAATCTGCCGCCGCTATTATCTAAGAGATACACTATGACGTTAAGATGTCACATTGCTGTTGTAAGCCTGTTTGTGTGTATTTGTTAGCGGCTCTGCCCTCTCAGTCTGCCAGGCAACAGCATTTGTTGCATTTTTCAAACATGAAGTGGGAGTGTAGTAAGTTTCTTGTAGGGGGTGACTTGCACGTTCATGTAACTGTACTTTAGAGTTGTTGGTGATGGAAAAAGTGTTTTTTACTGGTGAACTATATGCTTCTAGTTCACTGTTAGGATTGTTAGCACAGCGTTAGCCGCTTGCCTTCTTATAACCACAGGGTTACTCCTGTTTACTGGCTTGGTTCTTTTAACAACTCTGGAGCTTTTTGCCAGCCGGTGTCAAATCACAAATGCTGACACTGCAGCATTACCTCAGCAAAGACTCTGCAACCTCACAGGCTCACAGATTGTAAATGGTTACTACGTCCCTTCTATAGTTTTTTTTTAAGAGACAAACTGACAACCCCCGGCTGACTGAAAAGTAAATCTTCCAACATGATTGAGACAGACTGTTTTGAGATAATTTCACTGTAGAATTATACATATTGCTCCTTTAAGCTCTTTTAGTTTTCTAAAGATTGATCATTTACAGCATTATTGACTTTAAGTTGGGAAATGGGGCATGAGGTAGTAATCTCATCATGAAGTGATCTAAAAAAATTAATAAATCACCAAACAACAACAAGCGAAAACATGCATGTGTGTAAACCGACACAGGACAGCAGAAAAAAGTGCTGCACTGGCAGCTGGCGGAGAACACCTGTCTTTTTGGCATTGTGGGTACCTCCTATCCCAGGATGCCTCTCCAACCCAAGAAAGGTCTGGGCTGACAGAAAGGCCTACGGGTAAATGCTGGTGTCTGGCACCTATTGAGACACGGGATTACATGAGACCTTACAGCACTAATTGTGCCAGAGGGGCTGTATCCCCGTCTCTGCTGGGGTTTTAGCACCATGTGGGTTTTTTTCCCAATAACAACTCATGAACTAACAGAAAGAATGAAAAAATGTGAAATTAAGTTCTCTCTACAACTCTTACACAAATAAAGGGATTACTCTGCTTATGTGGCTTTTTTCCCCCAAGATTTTAACTAGTTCTAATTTTGAAACCAGAAAATAAACAAAGTCTGAAGGTGAAAAAGGCACAAATCAACAGATTAAAAAAATTAATCATTTCTTTTTAACTTTTCTAACTTAATTTTTTAATTTGGGACCTTTGAAGGACTTATTTTAACTGTTAATTTGTTTGCAGCAGCCCACATCATGATCAACGCTCCAAATTCTTTGTTGTAAATTTCTTGGAGCAAACTGTTGCACAAAATTAAGAGTTTAAGAAACTAAGGGGTTTGACAATGTTTGCTAATAAGTCTTATTTTGGTTTTGTGAGGATGTGGTTCAGCTTCACTGATTAAAACAAAGATTTTTTACACGTGAAATCTCCAGTGACCAATTTCAAACAAACAACAGATGATGTGGAGAAAATTCATTTGCATTTTAGAAAACTGATCTTAGGGGTTCTCTTAACCATACACTACTACTACTACAACACTCCTCACCTCATCTCCCACTTGAATCAGAAAATTACAGATTTATCAACAAGCCCCCACTATTCAATAATGCATGTTATGTACAAAAAATAAATTAGATTACAGCTTTATTTTGAAAAACCAGACATTTCTATTACCTTGTTGTTCATGAAGGCTTTGAGACATTGGACGATTTTATGTTGGTTCTTCTTATCTATCTTGTCTTGTCTGTGAACAAAGAACAATAATAAAATCACCAGCTGAATATATTCAGAACTTAGTAAGCTTGTCTGTGATTTTGTTCTGAAAGATCAAACATCATCAGCACAAATCCTATAAATACACTAAAAGCTGCACAGGTAAATGGAGAAACTCACTGCTTCTTGAACAGCAACCTTTCCAAAATGTCCAGGAGCAATCCGAGGCCTTCATGCCCAAAACTTTGAACCCAGCTAAAATGGAAAGAAAGGAACAAAAATCAATATCAACAGCAGTACCGGACTGACAGCTGACAAGAGAAGTTCCATACTCATCTTCCACCGGGCAAAGCTTTCAGACAGAAAAACACGAGTAGAAGTCGGATCTTTGTGATGAGAAGAAAGAACGGTTTCACTACTTCCTATAGCATCTGAGAAGCACGTTAAAGTAGAGTTCTAAACTGTGGTTGCTGCACGCATGGTGATTGGCACCATCATCTCACAAAAAGGAAGCTGCAGGTTTGAATCCCACAGGCAGTTTTCAGGTATGAAGTTTGCATGTTCTTCACATCTTTTTGGTTCTCTTCCAGTTTGCTCCTATCAAATAATTAACTATTCTAAGTTGGCTTCAAGTGTGAGCGTGTTGTCTTGGGATTGACTGGTGAACTGCCCAGCATGCACCCTGCAGCTTGTCTATTGGCTACTGAGATAAGTCATCCGCTCTACCGGATCTGGACAGGATTAGTCAGGAGTAACTAATGAGAGAATGAGTATTCCATTCCATCCCATTCCGCATTCATATTCTTCTTGGAAACGAGAACATTAAGAATTTCTGTGTGACTTTGACAGAAAAATGAATGAGACGATCTGTTCAGTGTTCATCAAATCCCTTTTAAGCTGTGATAAATATGTATTAACAGCTTTTATACTCCTAAACGTTGGTTTATTTAATCTCCACTCATCTGTTTCCTGCACCAAACTTATCTTGCAGAAAATCATTCTGGGCTTCATCCAATGCCAGCTCCCATTTGGCAACAAGTACTCTCTGAACATGTTGCCAGCACATTACAGGGCTAACATGTTTTTTGTCATGCAGGACAACAGAAATGGTGAATGCTGACACCCACAAGTACATCCATAGTCAGCTCCTAGTGGACGGTGGGATGAAACAGATTTACAACCCCCCCCCCCCCCCCCCCCCCAAAAAATAACACTGCAGGCTCGTGGAGAAGGTCTACAAGATGACGAGGAGTTTCAACCAGAACATTCTAACAGAGAAGGGGCTGTGCAAACTTCAGTTTTCTTCTAAGAAACAATATAGTTGAAAGGGGGACAGCAGTAGCTCAGGCGGTAGAGTGGGTTGTCCAAAAATCAGAGGGTCGTAGGATACATCCTGGCTCCCGGCAGAGAATGATGCTGTTGTGTCCTTGGGCAAGAGACTTGACTCACCTTGCCCGTTAGTAGTGGTCAAAGGGACCAGTGGGGCCTGTGCTCGGCAGCCTCACCTCTGTCATTGTTCCCCAGGTCAGATGTGGCTATAGCTCATCATCATCATCATCAGTGTGAATGAGTGTATGAATGGATGAATGATACACTGTGGTGTAAAGCGCTTTGGAGAACTCTGACCTGGAAAGGCGCTATACAGGTGCGGGTCATTTATCATACTAGTTCAGGATCTGTGAGCTGAATGTCTTCAAAAGAGACTCAAGTTCCTGTTTCATTATAACGCCTGGCTTTCTATCCAATATTTTGTAAATTTAAACAGAACTTGCTGAATCCAACTATTGCCCTTGAAGAAAGATTAATAATAGATGCTTAACAAAAAAAAAGGTTTTTATTTTCTTTTAAAGGATAAAGTTTTGTTTGTTGTGTGGAGGAGTCAAGGAGACTCTTGGTGGTTTAAGGAAAAGGAAACACTCTAGTGATGCTGGTCAGAATCTCACTTATAACTATTGATCTTTGGCTGATGCTATTGGTGAATTGTTCTAATACTTAACTTAATTCTTAAGATCCAAGCTACTTTTTTATTCTCAAGTTGATCATCCCATAGGATGGATAATTTATATGGAATCATCACATCTCATTGGTCACAATTAATTTGTAGTCTTTGACGCTACATTTATGTGAATGTGTGTGAACGGATGAATGACACAGGTAGTGTAAAGCACTTTGGAGTTCTCCGACTCAGAAAGACACTATACAAGTGCGGGTCATTTATCTTTTTGTCATTATTTCTCACTACATTTTAAATAAATGAAAAATGAACAACGGGAGCTTTTATGCATGCAGAAAAGGGAAGCACAGACAGCTGCATTGTTAGCACCTGCACCTTAACCCAAATGCCATCTCAAAACATTAGCATTCACCGTCGATGCTGTAATCAACAAGCAGTGTAGCATGTCCTCCAGTGTCAAATCAACAAAAATTCTCAAGATAGCAAAAAAGAAACAGAAAGCAGTTTTTCTGAATTTAATTAGTTAAAAAGGAGCACAGGTAATGCAGGTAAAAGAGATGATCTATTTGTCTCTTCACTATTCTAATTAATTAAAAGATAAACAGCTTTAAACGATGATAAATTATTGTTCTCAGATATGCACGTGTGTGTGTACGTGCGTGCGTGCATGAACTCAGAAACTACATGATCTCAGTATAAGTTGTGTGACTTGAGAACCTCAGCTGTATAAACCAGCACACGTCTCTTAGAGTCTTGTTAAAAAATAAACTAACAAAGCGCACGGTTCATTTAAAATAAAATATCTAACTTCATTTATAATCAGAGCAAATTGAAATAATTCTTTACAAACAGAAAACCAAGCCAAGAATCGGTCGTGGTCTTGAGTGTATAAGACTCAACACGAATGTGTGATATAGTCCAAAAACAAAAAAGTAGTAGACAAAATCGTATATCATTAATGATTAAGGGAGTAAAAGCTGCAGCCAAGGAAGCTGAGGAATAAGGCTTTCATGTTCAAGAACAGAAAAAAAGAAAAGAAAATCAATTTAGCCTTCACTTGTGAATGTGCCATGGCTCGTGCCATTGGGGTTATAGAGTAGGCAAGGTCTCGACAAGAAACTCATTGAAATGCATAGTTTGGTGGCAACTGCATGTTAGTTTTTCATCATCAATAGGTGAGGCAAAGAGCAAGAAAAAAATAATCCAAAGATCTGCGGAAGGAATTATTGCTAAGGAAACCAACAAGTCTACAATATAAGGATTTTCTGCAATAAATTTAAAATTTGCCTTGAAACTCGTTTGAGAGGAATGGAAGGGATAGAGGTGACAAATCAACTTTCAAAAGCTTTTTGAAGTTTTAAGCCTTCAGACATTTTGAAGATCTTGGAGGTTAGAAACTAGGAATGTAATAGCTTTCTGAAAATGTCTGGAGAAAAGACTCCAGGAGGAAGAACAACTGGACAGAGTCCGTTTATATAAGAAGTGCGCCTCCTCTTATTAAAGGTCCAAGAGAGGTGGGATAAGGCAAATAAACCTGGGTTCAGACTCAAACCTGTCCACACACTGCAATTTTATTCATTCTTCAAGTGGTGTTAAGGCCCACTGCAAAACTTCATAGATCTTTTTTTGCACTAGTGATCATTTTACAGCATTTAAAACCTATAAAAGTATTAAACAAACCTTTGCCCACACTTAAACGGTTTACAAAAATGCACAAACATCTAAATATTTGGAATGACTACTGCACTAATTATAAATCCACAGATGTTTTGGCAGCAGCCATTTGAGATATCAAACCCTGTACAGGAACAATCTGTTAAACAGCTGGCCAAGAAATTGCTCAAATTAATAGCTTACCAGTGCTGTTTTGGAAATCATTTTTAAATAATGACCCCCATCAAACAACAACAACAACAACTGACGAAAAGGAAAAACATCAACTTGATAGAATTATTCACGGGTGACCAATTTAGGCAAAAGATCCAACTAAATCTAAGTGACGTCTTCCTGTCTGTTTATCCTTGAGCAATTAGGGTATTCTTTCTTTTTTTACGTTTCTGACATGCAGTCTAACAACTAAAGTACTTTATATTCAGTTTGTTAATCTAGCATTCTGTGCCAGCCCTTGGGTTTCATTAGTTCCTAGCATCTGGCAGCCCTCCCACATCCCCAATGAGAAAACTTCAATTACCTTCTCTGCCTGAATGTCCTCAGTCTGGAGCCACATTGAGCAAAGCTCACCACAAAACGGCTTATCTCAGCGCAGAGGAGCACCAGTACTGATTTACACCATGGGGCGACGGTGGCACAGGAGTTAAGTGCTTGCCCCGTAATAGTAAGGTTGCAGGTTTGAGCCCCACTCAGTCTGCCCCTGTGACTCTGTCCTTGGACAAGACACCTAACCCACCTTGCCTGCTGGTGGTATTTGGAGGGACCGGTGGCACCTGTGTACAGCAGACTCGCCTCTGTCAGTCCGCCCCAGGGCAGCTGTGGCTACATTGTAGCTCATCCCCACCAGTGTGTGAATGTGTGTGTGAATGGGTGAATGACTGATTGTGTTGTAAAGCACCTTGGGGGGTTCCAGTACTCTAGAAGGTGCTATATCAAACACAGGCAATACAATTGTTACCACTGACTTTGTAACACAAATAATACAGAACACATGTTCCGTCTGCTGGAAGATGGAAAAAAAAATCTTAAAAATTATGAGACAAAAGTGACTTACACTACACCATATTTAATGTGGATTGTTAAAAAAACAGCCACGGCTGGAATTCCAGCACCATGGTTACAAAATACCACCACCACCATTACAGTGCACAATGAACACCCCAATAGTAAATACACTAGCTTGGACTGAATACATGACAGGATTCCCAAGAACAGCACTACACCCTCTGTTGTCCTGGCAACAAATTGCTTTGCAATACGCCCCAGGAGACGGAGAAGTCCAAGAGCAAAATGTCTGTCAATACGTGCGCATCTCTTCCTTGTGTAGCCGACGCAGAAGAATTAACTTGGCTTTACGGATGACGCACGGAAGCCAACCAGCACCACTGCGTGAGAAATTTCTAGGGGAAACACTGAAAAATAATAGAATATTCTAAAAATTGCTCAAAGTTAGCATTTTCAGATCTGAGTTTCAGCTTTCAAAACGTAGATCTGTGCATCTCTAAAAAATACAGGACATCGCTGCTTTAAAGGAGATATATCATGCTTTTAAATGTTTCCTTTTTACATCCAAATCATTCAGTTGGGGTCTAAACACAGTGGATCTGCAGTTCTTTGGTCTGATATCCTCTTTATTGTTGCTCTACAGACCCTCATCTACCCCTGTTCTGAGGAGACTGAGAATGAGCCGTTTTTGGGTACTGTCTCTTTAAATCTGGAGAAGGAGCTGCAAACCCCACCCCCCTCCACAGAGCAGACCTACTCTCCTCCCCCAGTCGGACTTTGTAGGTCTATATAAAAATCATTGTTTAGCGTAGCAGAAACGTTATATTAGCATTTCTGAGACATGTGGGGAGAGTTGTCCATCAAGCCGTTTCAAGGCTGGCAACTCTCATGCATTTATCTGTAGTCACACGCTGTCGCGTCGCACCCCTCGGTACTAGCCACTAAACTGGGAGACATGAACACACACACACACACACACACACGCACACACACACCAAGAAAAGAAAAGTCATAAATCAAAGAAAAAGAGCTGCCTTATCTCGCCAACTTCACAGTTAAGGTAGCTGAACTTTTGAAAAAATCTCAAGAGAATCTTTTTTAAGGTTTTTTCAGGCAAACCAGCCCAGCGTTGCACCCCACTAACGCGGTTATGAACCAGAAATAAAGGATACACTTTCGAAATGTAGTTTCAAACATGGCAGGTTGACTGACGATGGGCGAGCTCTTAGAGGGAGGAGAGAAAGAGGCTTGAGTTGAAGCAATGTGGAAAATCTAAAATAAAACTGCATAAGGCAAGCCTGAAATTTAAAAGTGTATTTCCTGTATGATTAGTAAAGGACTTGTGAAACTTTAAAAGCTGTTTGTGGATGTATGAGACAGAAGCTGCATCCAAGGTCTCCTGCCTTCTCAGCGGTACAACGAACCTCACTGCATCCCTAAACGAAATAAAGAAAACTGAAGCCTTAAACACGAAGGTCAGTTTTAATACAATATCAAAAAAAAAAAACAATTTCCACTTTTTGTCAGATCCATTTATCAAATCCATTTCATACAATTACATCTCGAAGCCTCGCTGATCCTACGGACTAAACCGTGGCCTCTCCTTATGGAAACAGAACTGGAGCTGGAGAAGCAGCACTAAAGTTTACAGAAGTCACACACACACACACACACACACGAGTCTTGTACTGTGATGCTCTGGAACTGCAGGAAGGACATGTTTACCTTTTATAGTTTGTCTACTGCACTGGAAAGAAACAGATGGGGAAAATACACATCTTTCTGTCCAACTCGGCGGGGTGCAAATGCTGGATCGTGCGACAGCTGTTTGCATTGTTGCCAAGAAAGTGACACTGATCAGCATCCAAAAACGGTGGCAGACAAAAAGCCTTTACTTCCAAATCAATCCGCCAATTCAGGGCTTTAATGGCGCTATTAAGACAGCTAGAGGTTGCTGCTGTTTCTAGCCGAGCCAGATTTATGGCAGGGTCCATACTTTTGTCAATAAACTTGAGCCTGAGAGTCTGATCAGAGGTGCCCTCATCAAACATCAGTGTCTACCAGCCACATTTTTCTTGACAACAGTCACTTTTACTGAAAATACTGCAACAAAGAAATGAGAGGAGGACATTAGGAGATGGTGGGTACAACTGCTGAATTGATTTGGGTCTAAAAAAGAACTGGCAAAGCTTTAAAATGGAGAACTGAATACAGCTGCAGGCTAAATACTTGCTATTGTTTAAGCTTTAGAAGCAAACCTGACACAGTTGCAGCTCGTTATATTTACATCTTCATTACACGAGGGTGGAATGTTAGAGCGAAGGGGTATTCTGTGGAAGTATGCCACACAGAATGTACTAATCATAGATCTCTGCAAAGTGTGGCTCAGAGAAACTGGCATCAAAGTCTTAGCCTCGTACCTACAGACACAACTAAAAACTTAGGATAGCTTCTTCGTTTCTGTCAAGAGGATCAGACGCAGCTAAAATGAAAGCTGCAATGAAAGTAACGAATCACTTAGACTGTCAAACATTTACACGAAAGACAGATTTGCTAATAAAAAATAAACAGGCCCTTAAAGATGCACCTGTAATTGTGTACCTAAATCTGAAGCCAGAGTGAGTAGATTGATGAACTTTAATCTTGTGCCGTACCTCACAGGCTTGCTGGTAAGAGACACTCGCAATGAGTCCAGACAGGCAAAGAGACGTTCGTCCATCACTCCTGACTTCAGCTCACCGAGGAATTCCTGGGGAGAGATCTGATGGCTGCTTTTCAGGCTGCCCTTAAAAGAGAAAGGAAGAAGACGGTCCTTCACCATGCTCAAATAAAATATTACATAAGGATAGAAACATGGGATGCTGCTGTATGGGACAGATGTAAAGAAACTGCAGACAGTTCCAACCAACTTCACTTTCTTCTCTTCTTAGGTAACATGATACTGCAGATCTGTTGGCATTAAAATAATTATTAGGGATGTTCCAATCAATTTTTTTTCTGTCTTGATCAGTCCGAGATATTTAATTTTGAGTATCTGGTGATACCGAGTCCCAAGTCAATACTTCAGCAAAGCATTAAAATAAGAATTACAAAGAGAAAACACATTCAAGATTTCCTTTTTTTTTTATGCATTTCCTTATGTCTTTGTCATTTCTTTAGTTTATCAAAAAACATCACTTGATAGTAGGGATGTAAGAAAATACTAATTTAGCAATATATTGTGATTAATTTTCCCTGCGATATATCAATATTCAAAAGCTGTGTATCAAATTTTTGAAAAGATTTACATGCAAACATTTGTGTATTTTCTTTTCTTTTGGTGCAATTCAAACGCCAACCGCTAGTTGGCAGCAGTGTGCAAAGGGTTTTGTTTCCATCATTGAAATGTAAATCCCTCTATTATGGTTCAGATACCTCATGTTACACATATTAAACATCGGTTTGGACTGAGTTTTAATTTTCCTACCATAAATTCAGTCTAAAAAATGGTCAATATCATCTGGCTGAAATGCAATTAATAGTGTATCTTATCGTCTCCCCTGTATCACGATACGTATCGTATCACCAAAATTTAACCAATACACTTTCCTATTGTTATGGAAGAACATCGATTTAAAAATGTGTTAATATTATGAATAGATATATATATATATATATTGCTCATATTTAAAATTGCTTATGTCCTCATCATGCAACTCATTTGAGTGATGCGCATTCCTTTGACAGGGAGAGGCACGTAATGCCACAGCCAGCAGGCTAACTTTTATCAGCACACCTGAAGCTACCGGCGCCATCAGCTCAGGTGCTGCAGAATGAGAAACCACAAAGTTTTGCTGTCTGTCTGCAATATCTCTGTGTTTATTAACGTATCTTTCACTGTTAAAGCCGACCTATTTCACCCGATTCTGATCTTTGGAAAATCATGTGATCTGACCCGATTTATAGTCACGTGATCGGATCATCCCTAATAATTACCTTCTGCAGTAAAATGTTGCTGCCAAAAGCAACAAAAGTCTTTTCTTATTACACCGATGTTTACACTTAACACCCTGAGCTAAAATCTGCTTGTTTTTAACAATTAAAATGGCGTTAAAAGGACAAGAAATAAGTTGAGGTTTGTCCTTCTGTGTAATTTTTTTAATATTTGCAAAAATGAAAAAGAATTTTTCTAATAAAAACATAACTCGAATCAGTAATAATTTGGATACGAGATAAATATTTCCAAAGTTATTCACTTGGCATCACTTAACAGGGGTGGCCTGTGACCTGCTCTGCTGAGGGAGCCAACAGTAACTTCCACTGTGGAGAAAAGAAGTTTCTCAGCGAGTCTAGAACGTGTGAATGCTCGTCACCCACATTAAACAGAAAAGGAAAAAGAAAATATGCCGTTAGTCATGTCACGGCCAGCTCACTCGCCCGACCTCAACCCCACAGAGTGGCCTTTAGAACAGCCTTGTCTGAAGGGTCGGACACACACGGGCAGCCAGCAACAACAACAACAACAACAACTCGGGAGGTGTGCTCCAATGAGGAAAGAATGCCGCAATGAACTTGTTGTTTATTCTGCTGACATTTCTGGCAGTTTTTGAGTAACTTCAAAGAACTTTTTTCTAACTCATAATTAAAAACTAAAACAATGAGATTACTAGGGGACCCACACGGATCTCTCGGTCTATGGTTCGGCACCCACGTGGTGCATGGATTGGTCATGTGGAGGGCCGAGGCGCCGCCTTTTCAATCCAAACAAGAAAAGCACAGCGGTGGTCATGGCTAGGGAGGAGGAGATGAGCTTGGAAAACCTCCTGCATTGTTTAAGTCGCATGTATGTAAGCATTTTGGCTTCCCTGTAAAATACAATAATGATACAAACGGCAAAAATGAACACGTGCGTGTGCCTCCAGCCTATCGGCGCAGCGTCGCAAATACTTACCTCCGATCGCTGTGAAAAGAGGGGGGAAGGTGGTGCGCAAAATGCCTGGGACAATTATTACATTAATGTGAGACCTGTAACTATTGTTGGGGACAAATCTGGAAAAGAGGTAGTAAGAAAAATAAACAGCACTTTAGAAAGGTGAGAAAATAAGTTAATGCAGGACATGCATGAAGTGAGTCTGTTGCAAGCCATTTTAACATTTAGTAAACAATAGACCTCTCTGAAATTCTTATTTTATATAACAAGTTGAAAATTGAGCAGAAAAGATGTTGCACTAAGTGTTCTACAAAATAAAGAGGGAGCAAAGTTATTTGTTTTTTCTTTTCCTTTTCTTTCTGCTGATCCGATCCATGACTGACAACCTTGATGCAATCCAAACTGGGAGTTTTTTGATCCGTTGCACCACTAGAGATTAGAAAGAAAGATCTTTTTTAATAGCACTTCAAGATAAAAATCACGAGGCGCTTATTTTTTCTAACAATTTACCAACCTCTTGCAATGTGCAAGAAAACTGTTCCTGCTAAAGGTGGAACATAAAATTGTTGTTTTGTTCTATTTGAAGTAAGGCTGCACAATATATCGGCATCAATATCAGTATTGGCCTATGTTAGTCTTTTTTTACATTTCAGTATCAATCGGATAAACTAGGCCGATATTAAAAACCGATATTATTTCCATCTTGTCTCCTTTTGTTTATCTGTTTCAGAGGGTGGGGGGGGTGGGGTGGGGGTGATGTGTATTTGTTTAGTCATGTGACAGTGATTGTAATCATCTCAGAAGCATAAATGTGTGTGGCGTGTGTACATAATAACGTAAAATCAGCCTTATTTAGAAGCATTAATGTCGGTATATCGGTATCAGCAAATATCGGCTATCGGCCATAACAGTGATAATAATATCAAATATCTGTATTGGAAAAAATTTCATATTGGTGCATCACTACTTTGAAGCTAAAACTTATTTAACGTGTTGATTGACCATGCAGGGATATAAAGGTAGAAGTTAAATCTGGAATTTGTTGTTATTGTGCATCAGAGATGGAGCTCAGCTCTTAATAAAGTAATGTGCATGTTGCCCAAGAAAATAAATGTTTAGTTTTGTTTATAACTTTTAATCTTTCTACAAAACATTCTTGAATTAAATTTGTGCCATCAAGTTTTTTAAACTATCTAATGAAGCTTGAGGGCTTCCTCCATGATGTCCTCTCACTAAGAACATCCAGTTCTTACAGGTGGGTCTATGCTTTGAAGATTTCTTTCAATATTTAGTTGTTAAAAGGTGCAGACCTTCTCACTAACTAAGCTTCTCTTTCATGTTTGAACGCCTCCACTGCCCACACGTTAAAATCCGTCTAATTAAATCAAACACCTGACTCCACAAAGATGTGAGGACTAAAACTGAGGTTTACGTAGTTTTTGCTGTTACATTAAGAAATGGCAGCTTTCTCTGGTTTTACTTTAGTGAAACAGCTTTGTATCCAATTGTGAACTAGATAATGATCAGGCCATGTTTTATTATGGGATAACTCTTGTATCCTGAACATAAATGAGAAAACTAAAGTATTTCTTGCGAGTTTAAAGTCAACTCTCTTAATTACTGCAGACCAGTCTTTTGCTTTTCACTGCTTTTCCAGGAGGATGTTCCCAAAGCTGGGGTGCCCAGTTCTGGTCCTTGAGAGCTGATATGAAGAATGTTTTAGTTGTTTCTCTGCTCTAACACACTAGATTCAGTGGTTAAATCGCATATTCAGCAACACATCAAGCTCTGCAGAGGTCAGTTAATCACTGCTTATTGAAATCAGGTGTGTTGAAGCAGGGAAACAACTAAAACATGCTCAATATAGGCCCTTTAGGACCCAGCTTGGCAACCCCTGGTCTAGAGTTATCCATCTCTCCATCTGATCTGTTGTCGATGATCAAAGCTTTCTCAACAAATTTAGTCAGATTTTTTATGTTGATTGTTGGAAGTTTCTTCCTGTTAAAAGGGGAATTTTCCTCTCCACTGTCGCTACATGCTTACTTAGTATGGGGTAAAGTCAGTGGCACAAGTCAGTGACTCGATGCAATCTGCTGTGTTTCCTTATATAAGGAACCTAACTCAATCAGAGACTTTGCTTTGTAAAGTGCCTTGAGATGACTCAATATGGTGCTACATAAATAAACTGAATTGAATTGAATCGTCTTGATCTGCATACATTGGTGGGATATGAGGGCTTACTCAAACTGAACAATTATTCATTTTCCATTTTATATGAGTATCTCTTTCCAACAAGCAGTTGACATTTGAGGACATCATTTATATTTGTGGACAAGCTTCTGGTTTTGTCACAAAGTTGCAGCAAGTCAGTTAACAGCTGGTGCAACAGCTAGTCCTGCAGAGAGTAAGCATAGAGCTAAGCACACATCACCCTACTGGCATAGAAAAACATCATTACTCAGTTTGACATTTAAAAAGAAGAAAAAAAATAATAGTCTAATCAGTAATGCAATGATGTGCCAATTAAAAGCTGGGCTCAAGAAGATTTTTTTTTACTTAATAGCGAGAGAAAGACTTTGAAAGAGAGAATGATGTTGAGCAAAAAGGCCTGGACAGGCTGCAACAATGACTTCAGCTTTTGGATCTGCAACTTGTAAAACTTCATGGCAACTAGGGGTGTTTATAGGAATTAATCTAGCGATACAATTTACAGTACAGGCCAAACGTTTGACCACACCTTCTTATTAAATGTATTTTCTTTATTTTCATGACCATGACCATTTACAAAGAAGCCAACAAGTGCTAAAACACCTCTAGGAACTCCTTCAAGAGTGTTGGAAACCCATTTCAGATGTCTACCTCTTGAAGCTCAACAAGAGAATGCCAAGAGTGTGCAAAGTAGTAATCAGAGCAAAGAGTGGCTATTTTGAAGAAAATAGAACAATAAACATGTATTCAGTTATTTCACATTTTTTGGTTAAGTACATAACTCCACATGTGTTCATTCATAGTTTTGATGCCTTCAGTGAGAATCTACCAATGGAAATAATCATGAAAATAAAGAAAACGGCAGGTGTGTCCAAACTTTTGGCCTGAATTATATATCACAATTCAAGGCATACAGCGTACTTAACAGTAACTAAAACTAGAATGTGACGTTACATCGCAATGCATTCTGGGAGGTAGCCCTAGACAAACAAGCACGCATTTTGCATGGGTGCCTATGGGTCTGGTGTGCTCCACTCATAAATGTATTTTTGTCTCCTAAAGATGTTTATACGGGAAGGAACTAAGCACCGCTGTTAGGGATTGTGCAAATTGGACTTTAAATACCCAGAACGGATGTTGGATCAGACTTTTTTTTTATCCCTTTTCCAAAGCCGGGTATGGCCCGGGACAGTATGACACAGATGGAAAAGGGACAGGCCAGGATAAAGACAGCCAAAGCAAAGCGATGGCAGTATGTATGTGGAAGAGTGGATTTTCACACTGGAGCAAGCCAAGGGGAGACGATACTAGCAACACTCACAGATGAGGAGTTATCTAGGAGGCAGAGGTGTAAACGAAGGGGTCCAGCTGAACGTCTCAACCAAACATGGATGAAAAAGCCTTTTGACCAGAGGTAGATTATATGTAAAAAGTAGGAACACAAATAAACTCCCAAGTAAGAGAGGGAAAAAAAGTAATTTGAGAAAAAAAAAGTTACTTGATTATGTAAGTAATGAGTGTTTGAGCATAAAAGTTTGAATTTTGTTACTATTTGTTAATAAATAGACACACAAGTGCTTTTTGCGTGTTTTTTAAATTGGCAAAGGCGGTTTGTTAGTCTAGAACCAGTACTCGGCCACACTTGGGCGGTGACGTCAATTGTAAAGCGGGTCGCTGTAAAAACTCAGACCAGGTGTTTTCAAGACACATCCACTGTCATTGCGAGAGCTCAATTTTCCATCAGAATAAAGGCGGGGAAAGGTACTGCCACCTAGCAGGTGGGAGTTTGAATTGCACCACGCAAAAGAAATACAGTAAATGCTTGCACGAAAATTCTCATCCAAAAATGTATACACTGCTTTTAAATGTCGATTCAGTTTCACAACACGAAATATTGCAATATTTCACTGCATCCACATGTCTTTCATCCCTAATAGTAATGCATTCTTTTCATTTAAAGAAATGTTTAATTCTTACAAAAAGAGCAAAGACACTGATAGCTGTTGTGATGATCTCCTAAACCATCCCTTTAATATCATGATTTTCAAACGTGTCCTTGACTGAATTAAAATGCAGAACCTATGAAAATGTGCTTTGATGATGCACTTTAAAGCATTGCAGGGTTAAAAATGTTTTTTTTGTATCATTTTTAGAATTTCTTGTGTAAACTTCAAGTTAATTAAAGTGTTTGTTTGTACCTTTAGATACCTTTGTGACTTTTTGTGTGTGTGTATATTCAAGTTTGGTGTTTTAAAAGCAAAACTAAGCAAAAAACTCAATTTCCTCCACAGCAGGGTCACTCCAGCCAAATCAAAACCTGGGGGTACGAAAAGTGCAGTGGTTATTTTCAAGCCAACTGCAGCTACAAATAACACCATCAAAGGTCAGCAATTATTTTTATAACAACAAACATGGAAATTGGTTTTCAAAAAGATCATCTACCACATCCACAATCGATAAGAGTCTCGTGGAAGTTTCCTCACCTCTTTTGGTATGGTTTTTCTATTTTTACAAGAATAAAATGCTTTTAAAATAATGTTTTTCAAGGTTTCTTTTAACAGTTAAAAATGCATAGCACACACTGATGAAGTGGAATCAAAGATGAAAAGAATATTGGAAAAATTCTATAATGAACCCAGGAGTACTCTATATTATGGATTGCAACTCATAAATAAGGTTTACCATTGTATTATCTAAACCGAAAAGAACTTAAAAATAAATTAATAAATTAAAGCCAAGTCATGTTTTAATGGTGGCCTATCGGCTTACACTGCACTTGTATCTTCTGAGCATTACTTTAATAACCTACCACTTACAAGACTCACAAGATTGTACGTAAAAAATAGAAATGATTTACTTTTCTTGGATGAGCTGTACATTAAATGTAAACATTTTAGAGAAAACTGCCTTTTTACAGCAGAATACTCCTCAGAATTCTGCAATAAAAAAGATGGACAAGTAGAACCCTAAAAAAATGTCTACACATTAAATGCTTGAATAAACTATTTTAGAAAACATACTATGAAAGAGTTCACCAGCTGAGTGTGTCGAAGTGTAGGAGTAACATTCCCTAATGATAGTTCACGAGGCAGCTGAGAGCACAGTCAGTAAAAGAACATCTCTCTGCACAAAGACCAAAACAAAAAGTTCGACGTAAATTATATATGAACTCCCCGGGCTCGCCACTGTGCAAAGTCATTTATTAAATCAGTCACATTAAGGTAGGAGGCCATCCCACTGCCCTTTCTGTTTTGTCCTCGTTACAGCCCAATGCTAAAAGCCACTTTTCTTGTTTCATTTTTCAAGGAACTGCAAGAATGTTTCTGCACATTTTTCCATGTTATTAATTATGTTGACATCAAATTTCACAAGGTTACACATTCTCGTAGCGGTATTATGTCAAATTTGTCAAAAAGTGCTTTTTAACTCATGCAACATTCCTTTTATTACTCTGAGACGTAATGCAGTTATAATAGTTGCATTTTTCTGCACAGTGGTTCTGCATGCTGTCAACGGGATATTCCAACTAGGAGTAGACCGATATATCGGTCAGTCGATTTCTCAGGCCGATAGTTACTGTGTTCTTACTGGCCGATAATTTTCCTTGTAAGCCGATTAAAAATCGGGCACATCCTAGGGCAGCCCAGCTGTTGCAGAATTTAATTTAAATGTATTTTTACTAGGGATGCACAATATATCAGTATCAATATCATATCAGCAATGTTAGTCATTTTGTAACACATCAGTTTCGGTCCGATATATAAAACTGGGCCGATGTTAAAAAGCAGTATTTTTTCCATCTTGTTTCCATTTGTTTATCTGTTTCAGAGGATTGGGGGGGGGGGGAACGTGTATTTGTTTAGTCATGTGACAGTGATTGTAATCATCTCAGAATGTTTGTGGTGTGTGTACATAATAATGTAGATTCAGCTTTAATAATTTTCATTCTATACAAAATCTGCTGCTTTTAGAAGCATTCATGTCAGTTTATCAGTATCAGCAATATCGGTTATCGGCCATAACAGTGATATCACTATCAGATATCTGTATCGGCCCAAAAATTTCATGTCAGTGCATCCCTCATTGTTACGGTCACTAAAAACATCTGCGTGATAAATACTCTAAACTTTAAGTGTTTGACTTTAACACTGAGCAGCGCACAAGGTTGAGATTTAACAGTTAGTTAAATTCAGATTTGGAAAACTGATTTATGTGTGACATTTTAGCATGAAATGAAGGTAGAAAATGTCCAGATATCGGCCCATAAAAATCAGCAGTACATATCAGCCATCGGCAGACAATGTCTGCTACGTATCGGCATCGGTATCTGCAACAGAAAACCAATATTGGTCGACCTCTAACTCCAGCCTCTTTAAACTGGCGAAATATTGTTTACATTCGACAGCTACTCCGAGAACAACAAAGACCAAAAGTTGTTGTTGACATTTCGAAACAGCTCTAATCTACTAACTACAACTCTAAAACAGGATTTTATAAAACTTGTAAACCCCAATCAGTTTTTCCTTCTGTGAGTATTTTGGCAGAAATATAAAATCCCATAATAAAATAAATAATCCTGTTGTGCAAAACAATGAAGTAAATGTTTATAAAAACATTTTGAATGAACCAATAAGGAAGTTGGTTGTTGAAGTGAAAGGCTTACAGTTTTGGAGCCAGAAAAGACGTACTGGATGACCATTTCTCGCTTTGTGTTGAGGTCTTTTTCCCTTAAAGGAGCTTTTTTGTCCTCATTTAAGTTCATGTCCTCCTGAAAGGAAAAATAAATGGCTGTGTTGATTAATTATCACCTGCGAGTTTTTAGCTGGTTTCCATCTGACGGAACTTTGACAAGTTGGTATATCAACAAATCAACATACCATCATCTTTTCAAACAAAGCCAAGATCTCTTTTTCTGAGGTGATCTTTGATGAAAGATCCTCAAAATGCTGCAGGGTGGTTGGCGTGGAAGTGGACCAGTCATTGGAGCCGTGTTTAGATAGCGTTACAGGCAGTCGCTCCTTTTTGCTGCCTGGAATTCGAATACTGGCAAACCTGTCCCGCTGTGGGGAAAACATAAAGGCAAAAAGCAAAGTCAAGAAAAAGAGATGTGTGTGTGCTGAGCTCCAAAAATCCACACACCTCATGACCCTAAAAATGAAACAAAAGTGGATACAGAAACAGATAAATATTTTTAAGCTGTGAAAACCAGAATAATGACAGATTATGGTTAGAAACGGTGAAAAAAAAACAGGAAGTACTCAAACAGAGCTAATTACATAAACAAAGTGAAGCATCTGCAAGACAGATGCTCTGCAGAGTATAATCTAGTGAAAAAAATGATTTGTTAGAAAAGCAGTTGTCTTTGTCCAGATGTCAGTAATTTTAATGTGTTATAATGAAATTTTAAGGCAAACTCAAACTCGGTAAATGAGCTGTTTTAGAATAAGATGTTAAACGGCTGAGACTGACAAGAGACTTTATGTCTTACCACATCATCTGTGATGTTTCTAAAGGGCAAGTTCTATAGGTGGGGAGCAGAAAAGACAAATCAGGCAATAAAGGTGACGACTCATCATGTATTCACATCTTTTTTTGTTTGTTCCTGTTAGACCTGGAGGTGTAGTTTGCATTGTTTTATGTTTGGGGCATTTTCAGACTTGACTGTGGAAAAACGAGCCTGCAGAAGAAGAGCTTACTCTAGTGAATTGCGTTGAACTGGTGCAGAAATCATTAAGAAACATCTCATTTTAGGGGCACAAAGACCCATGTGTTTGTTGGGGGAATGCCAGGTAAGCTAAACCATCGATAAATTTGGGGAAAAAGAATCATATGTGCCTTTGCAACGCCACCCCAATCAGATCCACCAAACACTCATCAAGGGGAGCACGCAGGTGCTTCTATCTGGGGTGAAAGACATAGCACATTTAATTAACAGCTCAAGGGTGGAAGAGGATCATAACCGTAGCTTTGCTACGAAAAACCTCTACTAGAGACCTAGACTATAATCCCTGACTATCGACTACAAGGAATTAGCTTGTTTTCAGACGGTCAAAACATCAGGGTCAAACAAAGGTTTAGAAACTGTGGAATTCAACTTTGGTGTCAAAATGAGAACAGCACATGTGTGTATAGGCTGCAAACAAGTTTACTCATATTATCTTTACCAAATAGCTCATAAAAATGTATAATTTAGTCCAGACAATAGCAAGAACACAAATACTGTGCTGAAGGGATCTTGATTGGTCTTTGTAGTAGCAGGAAACATGGATTAGTGAAAGCTAAACCCTGAGCTAATTTTAACTTTTAAACACACACATGCCGAAACAAAGTCAAAAACCTGCCATGGCCAAAGTTCAAAGATGTTTGAATCTAAATATTGAATTGCCTCATTACTAAGCCATGCATCACAAAGTAGATGCTCAGTGGTGTACGTGTTCTGGTTTCATGTGTTTGTTTTGTGTAAAAAGTGAAAATGTATTTGACGTAACCATGAATATGAAGTTAAATAACTTCATACACAAACTGGTATGTGTTGAGTTCTTGTACGCGTCTGCTACTTCCTGGTTTTACCAATAAGACTCGTGTTGAGCAGAAACAATTAATCAGTTCATAAAAATTAAATAGTTATCCTATATCAGACTCAGCTAGAGATAAATATTTTTTATTGATGGTATTTTATACTTACAAACTTTGGTTTGCGGTCTCCGTCGTCGTACGAGCTCTGGTAAGAAAATACTTTCTTCTTTTGAGATTTACTGTCACGTCCTGCGCTGGACTGGTTATAACCATCCATGCCTTCCCTTTAAAGTAATAAACCACGTAGAAAGCAGGTTAAAATCACCTGTCTGACGTAGCACACCTTATTACTGCACACGCGACAACACCGATCGCGTCTCGCGCTGATTTCAAACGCAGCAGTTTAGCAAACTACTCTAAATACGTTGATACATTCAAAAAGGAACTGCAGTAAAAAAAAATGACCCAGACCCAACAGTCGGTCCAGCTGAGCTAACGAGCAGGTCGGCCGCACACCTTCACAGACAAGCTTAACTCACAGCTAATCCAATTTAAGAGCCGCGTCACGTAACGACTGAGGTTCCATTAAGAAAAGCGTAAGTAAAACCCGACAGTTAGCAGCAGATGTGTTGCTGTCATTCATCAACTGGAATCCGCGCGGGTCTCACAGGACAAGCTAGGAGAGTTTTCTTCAAGAGAAAAAGCAGGAAGAAAAGGGTGCAGCAGAAATTTTTGACAGTCCCGCGCAGATAAACGTCACCAATGCGCGTTTAATCCAACCAATCGGGTGTGACACGGTTTAAACCTGACTTCCGATTGGTTAAATGCGATTGTTTACAACTGGATGAGTTTCTTATTGGCTGTAGTGCAGTGTCCGTCAATCCCAGTGACTGGATCGATCCTAACCGGAGGCGTTCGATTTAAGTCCCCCCAACTCCCGTTATTGCACCGGTTGGCACTGGTCCGAAACACTTTTTTCTTTTTCGAAAAATAAATTACCGTTAAACTTATCAGTTAAACTTCGAGTTATTTAAACTTTTGTTCCCATCACACGCAGCCTCTATCGGTTTGTTAGCAGGAAAACTATTAAAAAAATGTGTTTATTGTAATTTTATAGTATGATGGGTTAACGGACTGGCATAAAAAAAAGAGTTGGAGAATGAGGGCTGTAAAATAAACAATGTTACACTAGTCTCCTCTCTTTCCGATCAGCTCACGGGTCCCGGGCCAGAAGAACTAAAAATCCCAATCCCAAAACTCACACTACCCCGACAGTGAAGTGCACTTGGAAGTGCAAGGCTTTTGAGTCTGTAGTACAAAAGAGGGCAAATAATTGCCAAATTGGGTCAGGGAGCATTGTGTCATCGACCACAACCATTGACATGTATGCTGGACAATTCATGTCCATAAACTCAAATTTGTTTTCAAATGGAATACAATACAATAAATACATATTTTCAGAAAAGGCACTTGAGCCTTTGTGCCAGTAGCAATGGATTGTGCGTAATACCCTTTGCTAAAGTTCACATCGATGCAGACTTGGGGCGGATCAAGGGTGCAAAAGGGGCATGATCAACATCCACACTTGAGAATCGGGACACCCTACGCATTCACACCCCCTGGACAGAATCTCAAAATTGATGGGCGCAACTGTGAAATTGGGATTTGGGACTTGGATTGACTTGCATTCATTTTTTCATTCTTCCGGGGACCCATGGTCCGGAGTTAGATTGACGTGACTTATAGACTTTTGTTTTACTTTCTATTCAAACATGTTTTGTTAACATTTTAGGTACCTGGTCTACTAGCAGATAAATGCTGATAAGTGTGGTGCACTAAAATCCCAAAATAATATTTAAATTCGTGATTTGGATCAGTGGGAATAAACTGTATGTCTGGTAAAAAAATGTCTTACCACTGCAAGGAGAACAAGAAAACACCAAAGTAAAGCATAAACTGTATTTTTTTATAAATAACATTGATCAGAGATATTTTTCAGTAAAACAAACTGTGGAGTTTTTAGGTATTTGCTGTATAGTTACATTTAAAATCTTTAGAATTAAAAGTACAATAAAGGACAAATTCAAGCCATTCTTAATTTCACAGCAATTGAAAAGAGTAAATTAAATCAAAGCAATCAGAGCAGTTATGCTGGTTCTGTTGTCAGCAGTCATTGGAGAAAAAGTTGGGTCCTACACAGTCTTAAGAGTCTTAAGAGTAAATATTGTTAAAAATTAATTTGAATACCAACTTCACTTTGTAAGAGAAAAAAATCTATGTACTATTGTACTTCTCAGATTATCAGGGGTGTGTAAGATGTCTTTTTCAACACAAGATAAGATTTTCATGACTCAACAGATTGTTTATCAAAAGCTTTATACTGGTGCTTTTCTTCCAGTTTATCTTTGTCAAAATAAAGAAACCTGAAGCCACAATAAAACAGGAAACCCACATTACCTAGAAAAACCTTTCCTGATTTGTTTGCTCACAAACACTAATTTTTTTTTCTCTGAAGACACATACGAAAGAAATGAGTCATTCAGGGTAGATTAGGCCGCGATAAAACATCTGCTCAACCTTAAGTGCCACTCTAGAATTATAAGAGGACCACACAAATCCTATGTAAAACACAGAGCCACAGAGCAAGTAGACAAATGACCTCATTATCATTGCAAGTTTAACAGCAGTTTGGACGAGTGTCTGTGAAACAATTCATCCTAGCCTCCAGTCAAAAAGAAAAAAGTAGAACAAAAGGTTATAGAGATTATTTGTCTCTTCACTCCTGTATTTTCTTGTATTCCAGGCATCCATCTTTGATAAATGGAGCTATGATTCAGCATAATTGTGCTCCCATTATTACTTTGTCATTCTGCAAAAAGCCAAAGTGCTTGGACAAATTCTCACTCACTTAAGATGGCATTCTTAGGACTTTTTATTACATATAAAAGCAATGCGTGATTTCCCTGAAATGGGGTTGCTATCTGAATTTTTAAATAATCATACATTAGGATTAACTAGCTTCAGTCTGATATTTCAGCCATGTGAACCCATTGGCCCTGACTTCCTCTGAATTCGACTTCACAAAACCATGTCTTCAAAGAGTTTTTTTATTCTAATTAAATGCTGTGAAAGCCATCTGCATGACAGCCAGCAGCATGTTAACACTTTTCATTTATCCAAACACAAGCCTTATGGTATTGTGTCTATGAACTTTCCCACACAATGATCAAGCCATCTAAATTGAATAACAAGTTGCAAGAAGGTTGCAGATGCAAAAACCTTAAAAGCCAAACAAATCCAAATTTTGGAAGATTTTATTGTATGATGATGAAGTTAAATAGACAATGTGTAGTTTTTATTGTTAATCTGGAAGTATCCATCAAAATGTTAATTAAAATGCCAAGTTGTTGAAAAATATTGGCGGTTTCTTAACATATAACCATTAAAAACCAGGTCTAAAATGCATGGGAGTGGGTCTAAAGCCTGGTTTATGCTTCTCCGTCAGCTCCGCAAGGGACAGACACGCACGGATTGACGGAAGCGTTTTGCGCTTTTACTTCTCCGTCTCCTGGGGAGTGTTGCAAAGCAATTGCCTGACAGGACCACAGAGGGCGTAGCGCTGTTCTGTGGTATCCTGTCATGTATTGGTCCACGATCGTGTGTTTATATTGTGTTTTTTGTGTATACAACAGACTTTTAACACGGACGTATTTGTCTCTCATTCTCCCACCGCTTCATGCGCTCCCCACCTCTAAACCCACGTTTCCTGTCATTTCCATCCACAAATAAAACGCTTGCTGCGCATCTTTTCACTCCTCCAGTCACGGGAGAATTAAACGTTCATATTTTTAGAGTTTTTTTCGCGAGGTATTCTTCAAGCTTCTCCGTGTCTGCCGCTAGTTATCCTCGGCTCTCTTTGCAATGGCGGCACTGTAAACAACAGCGGCATCCTGACCAATCACAAGCTTACGTAATCCGTCTCGTTCGACGGATGTTTAAAAAAGTGGGCTCGACTCCGTACGTACTTGCGTGCCTGCCGGAGCCCTACGCAAGGACGGATAATGGCGTTGCGTGTCTCCGCACTGACGCAGACGGAGAAGCATAAATCAGGCTTAAGCCTCAGAGTAACTTCGTCTTCGTCTTCGTCTTCCTCCGCTTATCCGGGTCCGGGTCGCGGGGGCAGCATCCCAATTAGGGAGCTCCAGGCCGTCCTCTCCCCGGCCTTGTCCACCAGCTCCTCCGGCAGGACCCCAAGGCGTTCCCGGACCATATTGGAGATGTAACCTCTCCAACGTGTCCTGGGTCGACCCGGGGGCCTTCTGCCGGCAGGACATGCCCGAAACACCTCCCCGGGGAGGCGTCCAGGAGGCATCCTGACCAGATGCCCAAACCACCTCAACTGGCTCCTTTCGATCCGGAGGAGCAGCGGTTCTACTCCGAGTCCCTCCCGAATGTCCGAGCTCCTCACCCTATCTCTAAGGCTGAGCCCGGCCACCCTACGGAGGAAACTCATTTCGGCCGCTTGTATCCGCGATCTCGTTCTTTCGGTCATTACCCAAAGCTCATGACCATAGGTGAGGATTGGGACGTAGATCGACCGGTAAATCGAGAGCCTGGCTTTCTGGCTCAGCTCCCTCTTCCCCACGACAGATCGGCTCAGCGTCCGCATCACTGCAGACGCCGAACCAATCCGCCTGTCGATCTCCCGATCCCTCCTACCCTCACTCGTGAACAAGACCCCGAGATACTTAAACTCCTCCACTTGAGGTAGGACCTCTCCCCCGACCCGGAGGTGGCAAGCCACCCTTTTCCGGTCGAGAACCATGGTCTCAGATTTGGAGGTGCTGATCCTCATCCCAGCCGCTTCACATTCGGCCGCGAACCTACCCAGCAAGAGCTGAAGGTCAGAGCTGGATGAAGCTAGGAGGACCACATCATCCGCAAAAAGCAGAGACGAGATTCTCCTGCCACCAAACTCGACACACTCCACACCACGGCTGCGTCTAGAAATTCTGTCCATAAAAGTGATGAACAGAAGCGGTGACAAAGGGCAGCCCTGGCGGAGTCCAACCCTCACTGGGAACAGGTCCGACTTACTACCGGCTATGCGGACCAAACTCACGCTCCTCTGGTAAAGGGACTGAATGGCCCTTAACAGAAAGCCACCCACCCCATACTCCTGGAGCGTCCCCCACAGGGTGCCCCTGGGGACACGGTCATAAGCCTTCTCCAAATCCACAAAACACATGTGGATTGGTTGGGCAAACTCCCATGCCCCCTCCATCACCCTTGCAAGGGTATAGAGCTGGTCCACAGTTCCACGGCCAGGACGAAAACCACATTGCTCCTCCTCTATCTGAGATTCAACTATCGATCGGACCCTCCTCTCCAGTACCTTGGTGTAGACCTTTTCAGGGAGGCTGAGGAGTGTGATCCCCCTATAGTTGGAACACACCCTCAGGTCACCCTTCTTAAAGATGGGGACCACCACCCCGGTCTGCCACTCCCTAGGAACTGCCCCCGATGACCACGCAATGTTGTAGAGACGTGTCAACCATGACAGCCCTACAACATCCATAGCCTTGAGATACCCAGGACGAACCTCATCCGCCCCCGGGGCTCCGCCGCTGTGTAGTTGTTTGACTACCTCAGCAACTTCTGCCCCCGAGATCGGACAGTCCATCCCCAGGCCTCCCAGCTCTGGTTCCTCCTCGGAATGCGCATTGGTGGGATTAAGGAGCTCCTCAAAGTATTCCTTCCACCGTCCGACTATAGCCTCAGTTGACGTCAGCAGCTCCCCATCCCCACTGTAAACAGTGTGAGCGAGTTGCTGCCTTCCTCTCCTGAGGCGCCGGACAGTTTGCCAGAACCTCTTTGGAGCCGATCGATAGTCTTTCTCCATG